GGGGAGATTCAGCAAATGAATGCTATGCCTCCTGTGCTGCTCCCTCCCCGCAAGACCAGTCCCACACTGTTCTGCTTTTTCTTCTTTCTTTTTTCCTTTTCTCCTACCAGATTCTTGGTATCTTTGTCTTTTTTTTTTTGGCATCTTTATCTTTTGAAGAGGACGATGTTCTGTTGGAGTTCTGCAGGTGCTCTGGTTGGATGGGTCCGTGGATGTGAGTTTTGGTGTATTTGTGGGAGAGGGTGAGCTAAGAGCGTCCCTCTACTCTGCCATCTTGGCCAAACTCGATTCCATCCTCTCTTGATTCCTCAAGGACTTCACTTTCTTATGTCCCCTTGCTTCCTTCATTTACAGCTCTCTGTAGTAGCTCTTTCTCCTTAACATGTAAATATTCCTTCCATCAAAATCACTGTATGCCTGTCTAGATTTTATCTGTCTTTCTTTTCCTTTATATTCAAGCTTCTAGAAAGAGTAGTCTAGGCTTGCTGAATCCACTTCTTCCTTGCACAGTCTGGCTTCTGCCCCATTCATACTAGTGAAACTATTCTAAGTCCACTGATGACCTCATTTATTCCCCTCTCCAGTGGTCACTTTTCAGTCTTCATTGATGCATGACCACGCTAAGACATTTGACAATAGTAACCATTTCTAATTTCCTAAAAAAACTTTTTCTCCTTTGATTCCATGATCCTGCTTTCTCTAGATTCTCCTCTAACCTTACCTGGCTGTTCTTTCTAATCCTCCTCTGACTCCTCTTTTCTCCTGCTCTCAAATGTTGGGTGTCCTCAGGGTTTTGTCCTTTGTCTTTTTCTCATTTTACATACTCTCTGTGTACAATCTCATTCATGCTCATTGTTTATTCTACCACCTGTAGGTTTCCACTGCCACTCTAAAGTCCATTTCTTCTAGCCAAGGCCTGCTTCTCAGGTTTCTTGTTGGTTTATCCACCTAACCAAAAACATGATATGCACATCTAAATGTACTTGGACCTCCCCACCCATTTGTGCTTGAGTGTTTTTGTTAACATGCAAACCTGATTATATCACTTTTTGACCAATAACTTGTTATTGCAGTAGTTTATAACCTATTTTTGAGTCATGAACCTTTGGAGGAATATGGTAAAAGCCATGCCCACCCCTCAGAAAATTTATGTTTTGGAGGTTTGTATATATCTTAAAGCCCCTCCATGGAAATCTGTTAAGAATCCTGGCTTTACAGGCTTTCTGTCTCCTACAGGATAGAATCCAGTCCTCTCTGGACTTTGTTCAAGATCTGTACCCCATGATATGTCTTCTGCCTCCCTGCATCTTGCCTTTTTCCACTGCCACCCATGTAACCTGTGTTCCATCCATATGGAACTACTTAGAGTTTCTACTTACAGTGCATCATTTCATGCATATTACTGGTTTCTCATCTTTGAAGACTCAGCTCACATCTCTCTTCAGTGAAGCCTTCAGTGACTGACATACATAGGCAGAGATATTTTCTCTTCTTTCTTAGTCATAACTCTACTTAATCTCTGGAGGTACTAGGCACACTGCATGATGATTCTTCATTTACCTACCTGATTCTACTAAACTATGATTTCTTTATTATTTGTCTATAAACTCCTAGTATCAGGCACACTGACACATAGTAATTTTGTTCAGCTGACAGTTTTTATTAAGCACTGTTCAAAACACTAAAGTGAGCAGAATAGACCAAGTCCCTATCTCATGAAGTTTACATTCCTGGTGGGAGAACACAAGACAGTGAACAAATAAAGAAGAAAATATAGTCCGTCTGATGGAGATAGTGCTATAAAAAAAAAGAATGGCAAGGGGTATAGGGAATGCTTCTTATTTTATCTAGGCCGATCAGGGTAGGGCTCATTGAGAAGGCTATTTCTGAGCAAAAACCTGAGGAGGGGGCAGGGGAAAGCCATGTGCATGTCTGTGACAAGAGCATTCCAGGCAGGAGGAATGTTAAGTACAAAAGCCCTGAGTGAGGAGTGTGCTTTATTAGTTTGAGGAACAGTAAGGAGAACAGTATAGCTACAACAGAGTAAATAAATAGGAAGGGGGTAAGAGACAAGGTCAGAAAGGTAGGTAGCACAGGAGTAAATCTTGTAAGGACATTGAAAGGACTTTGGTTTTTACCCTGAGATGGAAAGCCACTGGAGAGGTTTTTTTTTAATTTAATTTATTTTTGTGTTGGGGAGATAGTTAGGTTTACTTATTTAGTTTTAGAGGAGGTACTGGGGATTGAACTCAGGACCTTGTGTGTACTAAGCAAGTGCTCTACCATTTGAGCTATACCCTAACCCCTGGAGGGTTTTGAGTATAGGCGTGACAGAATCTGACTTAATGTTTAAGAAGTATTACTTGGGCTGGTCTAGTAAAAATACAGTGTTGCAGTGGGTAGGAACAAGGGCAGAAGCAGGGAGATGAGTTAATGGGCTGTTGCAGTAATCTAGGTGAAAGACATTGGTGGCTTGGACCAGTGTGGTAACAGTAGAGGTGCTAAGAAGTGGTCAAATTCTGAGTGTATCTTCTGGGGAGAGCTGGCTGACAGATTAAGCTCACAGATTGGAAATGAGGTATAAGAGAAACAGGAGTCAAGAATTAGGCCAACATTTGTGGCCTAAGCAATTTAGGAGGATGGTTTTACCATTTAAACAAGATGGGGGAGATCACAGGAGGGGCAATATTGAGGAAAATTGATCAGGAGTTCAGTTTTTGACATGTTAAGTTTGAGATCCTGTTAGATACTCAATTGGAGATGTCATATAAATGGAAATATCAAGTAGGCAGTTGGCTACACAAGTCTGGAGTTCCAAGGAAACAAACTGGGTTGGAGATAAAGACTTGGGAGTCATCCATTTATAGATCTGTGCTGTCCAATATGGTAACCACTATTTATATGTGACTATTTAAATTTAAATTAATTAAAATTGAACTGAATTTAAAATTCAGCCTTTAACCATACTAGCCACATTTCAGTGCTCAGTGGCTGCATGTTGTTAGTGGCTATTGTATTAAACAGAGCAGATGTAGAACATTTCCATCATCACAAAAAGTTCTATTGGACAGCACTGATATAGATGGTATTTAAAGCCATGAGACTGGATAAGATCACCAAGGAGTGAGAGTAGATAGAGGGGAAAAAAGGTTTCAGTACTGAGTCCTGTAACACTACAAATTAAGAAATCAGGGAGATGAGGAAGGGTCAGCAAAGAAGACTGAGAGGTGGTGAGTGAGAAGATGACTCTAAAACTGTGGTGATCCAGAAGCCAAGCAAAGAAAGTATTTCAAGGAGGGAATGATCAACTGTGTTAAATGTTGCTGATAGGGCAAGTAAGCTGAGGACTAAGAATCAGTCATTAGATTTATTAAAGATCACTGGTGTACTATGTGAACAATTCTTTGGAGTAATAGAGACAAAGGCCTTATTGGAGTGGGTTCACGAGAGAATGGGAAGGTATGAATTGGAAGCAGCCAATAAGGATGACGCTGTCAAGAAGTTTTGCTGTTACGGAAGCAGAGAAATGGGGCAGGAGCTAGAGAGGTCAGTGAGATAAAGAGAGGGTTGTTTTGTTTTCCTTTCTAAAGATAAGGCTATGTATAGCAGAAACAGAAAATATGATTATGCTGTAGAGGGGAGAATTGTTAGAAAGATGTTCTAAAATAGGCAAAGGAGGGGGATATAGTACACAAGCAGAGAAGTTGGCCTTAAATAGAAGTAGAGGCAGTTTATAATAACAGAAGAGAAGCTAGATCAGTGTGTACACAGGCACAGGTAGTTGGGTAGATGTGGCAGTGAGAGTTTGTGGAAGTTCTCTTCCGATGGCTTTTATTTTCTTCCTGAAATAGGAAGCAGAGTCGTCATCTGGTATGAGAATGGGAAAAAAGAAGATCTAAATAGCCATCTGGAAGGAATGGAGAATGAATGGACTAGGAGAATGTAGTAGAATTGCCAGATAGCACTAAGAGTCCAGTTAAAGCTAGTGGTCACACATTTAAAATGAGACATCAGTATGGTTCTGTGTTCTTGTCTAACTATTGATGGTTGTACTGATACACAGTAATTACTTTGAATTTAATTCAGTTGCTGTGAAAGATCATATGGAAAGTTCAAATGAAAAGCTTCACCAAGAAAGAAACATTTGAATTGGCTCCTGAAGACTATAATGGAGTTTGTTAAACACTCAGAGGCATGGAAGAGCAGAGTATATTCCTTGAACATTTGAAAATTACTGTCATAGGCTGTGTTCTACCAAAACAAACAAACAAACAAACAAACTGATGTACTGAGTGTGCAAGTTTAGACGGGAGGAATGTCCCTTACAGGGTTGTTATAAGTATTGAACAAGTTCACTAAATGTTACTTCTGTACTTTCTTTCAGATGCTCTTAATGCTCAGCAGTACAAAGTTCTCATTGGTAACCGGGAGTGGATGATTAGAAATGGTCTTGTCATTAATAATGATGTAGACGGATCTATGACTGAACATGAGAGAAAAGGTCGGACTGCTGTATTGGTGGCAATTGATGGTAAGGTTTTCCATAAGTACACTATGACTCAATGTCGTGATCTCAGTTATTATTTTATGTGTATTTTTGAGAGACATCTGAACTATGAGGGTTATTCAAAAGTAGCCTGAATGCAAAGTAAAATATCAGCAATACATAATTGTTACTGATTAATTTCAAATTCTCTTGCATTTGCCTGGTTTTGTTATTTTCCTTTATAGCGTTTTTTTTTTCTGGTCTTAAGTATTTTATTCTCCACATTTTTGATGACTTTCAAAGTAGTACCCAGCTGCCTGCACTCTGTGAACTTTGGGAGCAGAATTTGCTTATTGTACCCCTGCAGCCCTTACAATAGTTAAAGACTATGCTTTATTTAATTAAAATTATGCCCAAATATAAACAATGGAGAACATAGAATCTTCACTAGAGAAAACAAAGGCTGAAGTATATTAATTATGTCATCACTCATCAAGGTTCTCCTGCCCTTCCTCCTCTCCTTTCCTCAATCAGAATTCCTTCATCAATTTCCAATTCTACTTTTCCTCTCTCCTTCAAAATTGGCAACCAGAGTATTAAAATGAAATCCTCAGTAAGCCTTCCAGTTCAAGGTGCTCTTTGTGGAAGATTTAATGGTAGTAGGGACTTCAGATTCCTACATTTATAGTCTTTTTCAAAAGACAGCCAATTTTGGCAAGAAACTAAGAAAGCACAGTCCTTAGTTCAGTCTGTACTTATCCAAGGCCGTGCTGTATGCCCTTGGGCAATCAAAGAGTTTAGGAATGTGTGCCAAGCGTCATGTCACTGAGTTTGCCACCACCATCGTCTTCTCTCACCCAGCAAAGCTGTGCGGGAAGATGGTGACTCCAAGGCAATCAAGTCAGGTTTATTCAGTGTTCAGTCTCATATAGGCTATGTTTTTAAAAAAGGCTAATCAAGAATTTTTTTCAACCTAAAAATAATGTAACATTAAAGTTATAGCAGGGGGAGGGTATAGCTCAGTGACAGAGCGCTTAGCATGCACAGGGTACTGGGTTCCATCCTCGGTACTTCCGTTAAAAAAGAAACCTAATTACCTTCCCCCCAAACAAAGAAAAACAAAATTTTAAAAATTAAAAAAAAGAAAAACAAAGTTTAAAATTTATAGCAAAGTAAAAATTACTCATAATCTCATCATCCTAACAAGGTCAGTTTTAATTGCACATATTCCATTTCTGGGTATATATACATGCACATGTACAGAATTACAATATTAGTACATATACTATTTTTATTTTTATTTTTATTTTTTATTGAAGTATAATTGATTTTCAATGTTGTATTCATTTCTGGTGTACAGCATAGTGAGTCAGTTATACACATATATGTATGTTCTTTTTCATATTTTTTTCATTATAGGTTATTATAAGATATTGAATGTAGTTCCCTGTGCTATACATTAGGACCTAGTTGTTTATCTGTTTTGTATATAGTAGTAGTTTGTATCTGTTAATCCCAAGCTCCTAATTTATCCCTCCCTTCCCTTTCCCCTTTAGTACATATACTGTTTTTAAATGGGTGCACTATATTGTATATTAATTTTCCCTCAATAAAATTGAATAAAATTTAATCCCTTGTACACATACTATTTTATTTTACCTTATTTTATTTAATAATAATTTTCCAATTCTATTTTAATGCAGTATACTTTATCAGACTTATATACTATAATTAGTTTAATAATTCCCTTGGAAATTTAAGCTATTCCTAATGTTATATTATTGTAAATAACACTACAATAAACATCCTTGAGATTTTAGGTGCTTTTTTGTTAAATTATTTCTTAGGGTAAATTTCCAGCTTTGAGATTAATTAGTCAACATTTATAATTCTTGCTAAATATGAAGGCAGTATCTTACTGTGGGCTTTTTAGGTCCAGGAAGAAGTAGAAAATACCATTTACTTTTGTTTTTAATGTAAAATAATTCCTTGCAGTGATTTTTTTCTCCCAGTATAAAATACCAGTTTTGTTTCCATCCACCCCTTCACCGTAAAAAGAAAAACAAAAAAGAAATTAATTAGTTCTCAGTTTCATTTGCCTTTAAATTAGCTGAAGTGTTTGGGGCTTTTGGCCAATACTTCTCTAAAGAAAGAAAATGATACAATAGCCAAGACATGGAAACAGCCTAAATGTCCATCAGTGGATGACTGGATAAAGAAGATGTGGTATATTTATACAATGGAATACTATTCAGCCATAAAAACCGACAACATAACACCATTTGCAGCAACATGGATGCTCCTGGAGAATGTCATTCTAAATGAAGTAAGCCAGAAAGAGAAAGAAAAATACCATATGAGATTGCTCATATGTGGAATCTAAAAAACAAAAACAAAAACAAAAACAAAGCATAAATACAAAACAGAAACAGACTCATAGACATAGAATACAAACTTGTACTTGCCAAGGGGGCAGAGGGTGGGAAGGGATAGATGGGATTTCAAAATTGTAGAATAGATAAACAAGATTATACTGTATAGCACAGGGAAATATACACAAGATCTTATGGTAGCTCACAGAGGAAAAAAATGTGACAATGAATATATATATGCTCATGTATAACTGAAAAATTGTGCTCTACACTGGAATTTGACACAACAGTGTAAAT